GTGGCTCACGCCTGTAATCCCAGCACTTTGGGAGGCCAAGGCAGGTGGATCACCTGACGCCAGGAGTTCAAAGACCAGCCTGACCAACATGGAGAAACCCCGTATCTACTAAAAATACAAAATTAGCCAGTCATGGTGGTACATGCCTGTAATCCCCCTTACTCGGGAGGCTGAGGCAGGAGAATCGCTTGAACATAGGTGGCAGAGGTTGCGGTGAGCCGAGATTGCACCATTCATTGCACTCTAGCCTGGGCAAAAAGAGCAAAACTCCATCTCAAAAAAAGAAAAAAAAAAAAAAAAAAGGAAAAAAAAGAAATATATCTATGTCTCCTCTCCTATGTGCCAGGCTGCGGATCATGTACTCTGTACTGGACAGGAAAGGAGACAGAGACAGAAAAGTACTGATCAACTGTAAGAAAAGGGATTTCAGAGATCTCAGGGAATTTGAGAAAGGGGCATGGTTGCCAATCTAAGGTAAAAAAGATTTACAAAAGTAGACTTAAAAAACACTAAAAATTTTGTAGCAGTGGTATCTCTGGCAAAGGGGTTTTGGCCCAATTTCTGTTTAAATAAATATTCCACTTTTCTATCATATATACTTTTTCATAATTCAAAATAAGAAAACTCGTTACTAAATAGGAAGAGCAAGAAACATGGAGTGAAGAAGTTAACTTTTGGTCAGAAACACAAGATATCCCAACTTGGGACATTAGATGGCACAACCCTGGCTGATTCACTGTTTTAAGCGGCTAGGCCTTTCAACTCTGTTTTCCCCCAAACTTTCTACTTTGGTAATTTTCAATCCTACCAAAAAACTGAAAGGACAGTAGAATCAAAACCCATGTACAATCTTTACCTAACTTCACCAACATTAGTATTTGTGGCATTGGCCTTCTCCTTTCCCTGCTCTGAAACAAAACAACAGTCTCTCTTTTACACATCACATTCAATTCTCCAGACATTTGCTTATGTCTGGAGACACACCCTGCCAATGGCTTGGCCATGCTCCAATTATATAAGCAGCAGTGTCACAGGTGAGCTTTCCC